ACCTAATAAACAAACAGATTAAACCAAAATATGATAGACAATCCTTAGGTATACTCCCAGGAAAGTTGGTCGAGACAAAGCTCGGTTAAATACCAACTCCTTAGACAGAGTAGCGTCGCAAGGGGACTAGTAGCAACAAGGCTTTTAAGCCAAGGCCATAGAACTAGTATTCCTCCCCAAGAAACTTCCCTAATTCATGTATTCTCATTTTTGAAGTAAAATCGTTTGAGAGATCTAAAGAGTAGTTTCACCTATGGATAAGGCTTTGAATAGGGTAAACTACGAATTGTTTATGTACTTTATGTGCTTTAGGTACTTTATAAGAGCACGAGTGGAGTAATAACTGAAGAGTGAGTAATAATATGCATAATCTAACCTGAAAGGCACTAATTCACCTAAAAGGCACTAAATCATGCATAACATATAATTTAGACCTAAAAGGCTCTAAAATTTTCTTAATGAGCATGCTTTTCTAGGCATATAATTATAACAGTCAAATAATTATTGCAATAAAGAGATACATAGCATGCTCAGATTATGCATATTACTCACAAAATACTCCATAATTAAATTGCAACATTTAATACAATTTAATCTGAAACATTATTAAATTAAAATTCAACTGAAAAATTAAAACTGAATAAGTATTCAAAGTTGAATAATAATTTAATAATAGACTTAATAAAAAAATTTTCAATTGGATAATTTAATTAGAAGAAGTCCAAATATGATGAAGATGTTAATCTGAATGAATTGATGTAGTCCAAATATCAATTCAGGTTTGATCCAAAACCATAACAGGCCCAGATTAAAAAATATATATATATATATAATTTCCTTTTTTTCTTAATGAGCCCAGGTCTAGCCCAAATTGGGCCAAACCTGGCCCATTAACATAACATCATCATCTTCTTCAATTTTCTACCGTAAGCAGCGCCAACAGAAAAAATGGATGTCGGCATGAGAAAAAATGGCGAAGCAGTAGGCCAAAATAATTATTCAATAATAATTTTTTTTTAATTAATTCTTAATGCGGAAAATTATTTTCAGCAGTCCAGAAAATTTAATTGCATACTCAAGAATATTTACACATGTATCTCAATTATATAACAAAATATATAAATGTGCAAATATTTAAGCAATTAAACAAACTAGGCAGAGATTATACAGGCAACTGATACCAACTGTTAGACTAAAATATCACATGCATAATCTTATATGTGATAATAGGATCGTACTAACCTCCAGCCATAGTTCTTCTTACGGTTGAGCGATCCGGACTGCTGCAGAGATGATAAGCGCTTTGTCTCTCACTTTACTCAGCTCTCTCTAGATGGTGTATGAGGTATGTAATGTGAGCAGTGAGAGGACTAGTGACCTTATATAACCACTGGCCATCATTGTGGTTGATTGTCTTTAGGTCTCCTAAACCCTAACCAGACTCCTAATCATAATGGTAGTCTAGCTATTAGGTTATTAGTGTTGCACCACATATCAAATACTGAATATTATCATAACTTATCCTAATGTTATAATAATAGTAACGGATAAACGTTACAGCAAATGCCACATCATTTTGCAAATGGGCAAATTGAAAGATAATCTCAGTCTAACATGACAGATGTACATGTCTAATAGAGGTGGTTGTTGTGCCTGCCTTCATATGAGAGGAACATAGGCGAGCATGGTTGTTGTGCTTGCCTTCATATGAGAGGAACAAAGGCGAGCATTAAGGTTTGAGAACCTACTATCCATCAACGAAAATAGCCACTGGCAGTCGCCATGATGGTCAGTGATTACTCTAAAAATAAAAGGATAAAAAAATTTTAATAAAAAAATAATTATATACATAAAATATCCACACAAACATAAAATATTACGTGTTAGCATACTTATTAGTGTCACACCAGCAATAAACTACTAACTTGGTAATAATAGACCTTTGTCAACGAATCCTGATAAATATATCCCTCAAGTAGTTTCACATTTCAATTTGTTGTGTGATTTGAATACTATTTTTGTCAACAAATCTTTCTAGTAGTTAATATGATTGGCTTAATTATATATATATATATATATATATATATATATATATATATATATTTTATTTTTTTTTTTAATTTTTTTATAGTATTAATAAAATATTTGGTAAATAAATAAATATCATTATTTTGTATTAGAACTTTGATATTTAATTAAAAAATAAATGCAAAAAAAAAATGATAATAGACAATGTAGTGAATATAATCACTTGATGAATTTAAATGTAGAAAATTTTTACATTGGAGAAAAATAAAGAGAATATAACTAATGAAATTATTTTTCTTAATTAATTTATTGATAATGAATAATTTTTTTTAAGTTAATACCCAATATAGTCCTCGACTATAGTGGTTTTTTCTCAATTTAATCCTAAACGACTTTGGTGACCGAATGTAATCTCAGACTTTTGCATTTTTGCTCAATTTAGTCCCCCGTTTGTTATTCCGTCAAATTGGTCTTAAATAGAGTGACAATTTAGTAATTTCAATATTGACATATCTTTACACATAGACCTGCGAAGTGCAGAATCCCTCTTTCTTTTACGAATTACTCCCAAACCTGCGAATATAAACTTTGATTCGCAAGTCTGGGAGTAATTATGAGAGTAATTCGTAAAAGAAAGAGGGATTTCGCACTTCGTAGGTCTAAGAGTAAAGAGAGACCAATATTGAGATTATTAAATTGTCCCTTTATTTAAAATCAATTTGACGGAATAACAAACGGAGAACTAAATTGAGCAAAAACACAAAAGTTTGGGTCTACATTAGGTCACCAAAGTCGTTTAGGACGAAATTGAGAAAAACCACTATAGTCGAGGACCGTTTTGGGTATTAACTCAATTTTTTTTTTGAATAAAGACATTGTAGGGACTATGTTGCGAATATAATCAATTGATGAATTTGGATTTAAAGAATTTTTATATTGAAGAAAAATAAAGAAAATATAATTAGTGAAATTATTTCTCTTATTTAATTTATTGATAATGAATAATTTTTTTGAATAAATGCGTTGCAGACAAATAATTCTAAATTAAAAAAAATGCATATTTATTATTTGTTGTTGTAGCTACTAAATTATTATTTCTACATACATACATATATATATATATATATATATATATATATATATATATATATATATATATATATATATATATATAATTCTAATAAGAGCGAATAATGTTAGGCCCTTAACTGGAACAAAAAAATGTCGGTACTATTGTTTCTTAAAATGAATGGTCTATTGTTTCTTAAAATGAAGGGAAAATTGCGAGTTTGGTCCCTGAGTTATAATGGTAGTGACGACTCAGTCCCTAAGTTATGACCGTATGCGTTTTTAGTCCCTGAGTTATGAGCGAAGTTGCGCATTTGGTCCCTGTCCGTTAAAACTAAAGGAAAAATTAAAAAAATATTTAAAATTTTAAGGGTAAAATAGTATATTCACATTTTATTTTCTTTCTTATATTGAAATCACTTTTGCAACATTATTTTCAACTTCCTAGCATTCTTTTTCAAGATTCTTCAATTTCAAAAGCAATTCAATAATCTTCGTATGACTTTTTAGTAACTTGAGTCTCGTATAAGGAACATGTGACTCAGTACAAACAAGAGAACACTTGATCATTGTCATCAAGGATGTAAAACACACCATCCTAAAAGTTTCTGATTTCCCTTACTAAATATAATGGTAATCAAACCATAACTTTGAAATACAAGAAGATATCAAATTTCTCAAGTTATTTTTATGACAAATTCACCAAGGGAGTAACTTGAGATTTTTAGTACATAAAATTCTTCCATAAGCTTTACAGTAACTTAATTAAGAATCGTATATCTTGACAATATATGAAAATTATATTATATATATAATATATATATCCATCACCTCCTCTGTCTTCTTAAAAACCAAAGTAATGAATGAGGACCTAAGACTCAGTTATGAAAATTCTAAAAACTTTTGTAACTTCTAAAAATTATTATTGACGAAAGTACTGCATATGAAAAAAAAAATTTACATACTAAATATCTCAAGTTATTTCGTTGGTGAATTTCTCATAAAAGCAAACTGAGAAATTTGACATCATTTGGTATCTCAAAAGTTCTGGTTTGATTACCTTTGTTGCTTAGTAAAAAAATTGAAAATTGATAGGATAGTCTGTTTCACACGTATGAAGACAACGATCAATTGTTTCTTTATTTTTGCTAAGTCTTAAGTTTGTTATACGAGAGTCGGGTTCATAACAAGTCATACTAAAGTTATTGAAATACTTTTAGAATTGAACAACCTTGAAATAAGAGGCTAAGAAATGAAAAATAATGTTGTGAAAGTGATTTTGATATAAAAAGGAGAATAAAATGTGAATTTCCTACTTTACCCCTCAAATTTTAAATATTTTATAATTTTTCCGTCAATTTTAACGGTCGGGGACCAAATGCGCCACTTCGTTCAAAACTTAGGGACTAAAAATGGATACGGTAATAACTCAGGGACTGAGTCGGAACTTGGGTATAACTCAGGGACCAAAGATGCAATTTTCCCTAAAATGAATGGTTCATATTATTTTGATTTTAGTATTTTTTTTAATGATTTTCCTTATTTACCCTCTATTATATTATTTTATTCCCTTAAATAACTTAAATTCCGTTAGTATAAACTTTAGTAACGGAATATTCCGTTAACTATTTATTATTTTTAACTTACTCATTAATTTCTATAAGCAATGTCTTAGGTTCAAACCTTATCTCAATCAGAGTTGGCATAATTGTTAAACATATATTACGAATATGTTAAAATATATTTTAAAAAATATATAATATAAAATTTAATATAAACTTTGTTCAAATAATTAGTCCGGCTAAATACACAACATTCAAAGTTAAGCATCAAAGATTATATATCAAGAACTTTAAAAATCATTTGATTTTTATGCATTTAAAAAAAATTAGGTTAAGTTTGCCTAGAAACCAACACCGCCTCCCTATTTCCCCGTCGACTTCCTCGCGTCTCTGCCCGAAACCCTCCTCCGTCGACACAAATGGAAACCAAGCCAACCCTGGCACCACAAAACTAAATCCAAGCTATGCACGTCGAAAAATTGTACAATCTAATTCCATCACTTCTAGATCTTTTATCCAGTAGAAACCTTAATCGAATCCTTTGTGGTGAAATGGCGCAACCGACAAAGAAGCTCTTCGACATCAGCTCGTAAAACATCCTACTCTATCAGGTAATATTTACATTATTTTACATACTATAAAGCTAATTTTACCAATTTTCTGAAAACCCTAATACACTTCGTAATCCAATTTGCAGATGAATAGGCAAACTATCAAGCAAACTATCGATCTGCAAAAAACGCACTAGGATTTTGAAGCTAAAAACTAATTGGAAAAGCTACGCACAAAGAAATGAAGATAAGTATTCTAGTACATAATTTTCTACATACCTAGCGAAATTTTCAAAACTGTGCCGTTAATATTTGCATGTACTATTCCGATTTTGAAATATGGCAATCTTTATGTGCTAAATGTATATTTCTCTTCAATTTCAATTAAGTCATTAATTCTGTTAATTTATAGAAATATGATACTTTGTTTAAGTCTTACTTTGAGTTTCACTTTCAGAATATGTAATATTTACTTACATTCTTACAATAAATGTATTATTTTTTCCATATCAAATTGCAAACTGCAATTCAATTTCATAAAAACATAATTTCAACTATTATATTACAAATAATAGGTTTTTATTCATGCTATAAGAAAAAATACTGCCTAAAACATAGGTAATTATTTAAATGAAAGTATACCTTTATTTCCATGTTCATGTTTTCTCTTGGATGTACTTTTTGCAGAATTCTCTAACTTCTTCATTTGTGTAATATGCAACTTCCTATCTGGCTTTAGAAAGAGGAATTGGAAGGGAAATGGCTCCATCACACATGAGAAAATACCAATTATTTATAAGTCCTTGAAAGAATTGATAATAGCAATAGAATGATTACCTATTAATAGACTTATACTGATTAGATGACCCATTTTATTGGGAATATAGAATTTGTGCAGATTTGATTTCAATATCAATCTGCTCTAGTCATTTGGTTCTCTGTTCAATACAGTGGAATTTGCACTTATAACTGTTATATATTTTATATATTTAATAGTTAATAGTTTTTTGAAAATAGTTAATAGTTAGGACTTCATATTTAACATTGGTGAGACATGTCTTTTTTACCTTGAAATCATCCACTTTTCTGAATTTTTGATGTCAATCCCCAATAATGGTTCAATTAGGGTGCAACATCCATACTGTCCCAATTGTTGATTACTCATGCTATTTTTATTTTTTTGCACGAGTCACAAAGACATGAAGATCACTGGACCACTGAGGACCTTTGCAGGCTAAAAACTGGAAGGAGCAATTTTTTTTTTTTCTTTTCTTGCATGAGTCCAAATACATGAAGATGACTGGACTATCAAGGATCTTTGCAAGCTAAAAACTGGAAGGAAAAAAATGAACTTGCAATACTTGGACAAGTAAGTGATAGGTATCATGTTTGTTATTGCATTACATTTATATTCATTGGAGAAATAAGTGACTGCCAAATACAACAGCAGCCAGAACTAACATTTCTTTCTAAATATAGGTGTATCAAAGCATAATTTTTTGGGCACTCAAATGGAAATCAATACCACTGAAGTAAGGAGGGCATCTCACAAAGTAAATCAAGGTAACCCTTACACTTTAGTAAACATTAGGTGCTACTTCTTAGCCTAGGATATGATTTTTAGGCATACATAAAGCCTCTTAGAAAGAGGAATCTGGAAATTACTGGCATTAGAGCAATTTCAAAACAGAACTTGCAAACATAAAGAGTACAAAACCTACTATAGGAAATAGAAATACTCTTAAGTGTACATAACATTTAAGAGTAAACACCCATCACAATCCCATAAACCACAACCCCTCAACAGAAATTTGTCAGTTCTCCTTCTGAACAGTAACCGCCTTAGACCTTTTAAGACCCCCGTAGCTTCAATATCCTCCAACAGATTTTTCTTGGCAGAAGTTGGGTTAGAAGAAGTAACATCTTGGCTGTCAATATCGTCTAGACCAACACACTCATCATCATTTAATAGCATAAAGTCCTATAAACACCCAAATATAGAAGTATTAAAAACTTAGAACCTAAAACACTGCAACAAACAACTACAAACTAAATGCTATATGTAACACCCCGTGTTACGGCCTTTAATCCCGAATTAATTATTTAATTAATCCCGATAATAATAATTAAAAAAGATTTAATTTGGTTAGGATTCCCTTTAATTAATTAATATGGTCCACCATGAACCATGAACCCTTATCCCTAAACCAAACCCTTAATCCTATAAGGAATAAAATTAGTAAACCCATATCATTTAGACCCTAATTAGGACTCCTATATATATATATATATATATATATATATATATATATATATATATATATATATATATATATATATATATATATATATATATATATATATATATATATATAAGGACATAGGAGGCACCTAGAAGTCACACCACAATAGATATCACCACACAAGAATTCCCAAGGGACTCCCCACCACCAAGCCTAGGGAGATCAAACGGATGGAAATCTTAGGGAAGAACCTTAATAGCCAAGGGAGGATTAATTAAGGTTAAGAGGTAACCCATGTCTCAACAAAACCTATTTTCTTCGCTATAATCTCCTTCCTTGGCCTCCTTCTATATGCTTGTGTCTTGATTAATTCCTCTATGCTATTTGTGATATACTCTTGATGATTGATAAGATGATTTATGTGTATTCTTAATAATCTTGATGATCTTGATGTTGAAAAGAGGTTCTTGATATTGATGTGATGATTCTTGACAAATCTTGATATTTCTTAATGTTAAAGATAAATTGTGATTTTGATGATTTGGGAGGGATTAGAGCCCTAGGGTGGATTGGGAATTTGTGTTGTAATGTTCTTGTTATATATGGGTGGGAATTCGCATGTTCGGGTGTTGTTTATATTCAGAAGTCGTAATAGGATGAGTTATACGTGATTCTTGTTTTTGATCCATTAATTGCCTACGTGGTGTCGTTAATTGCGTTTAAAAGTGTCTAAGCATGGTTTCGGGTTCCACAAAGGATCCCGGGACGTAATTGTGATAAAAGAGTCAGTGGGGGTAGGGGTACCCGCCACCTACCCGCTGCCCGAAAATCACCGCCAGGCAGCAGCGGGCAGGCGCCAGGCAGGCGTTCGCTTGCCGGCAACCCGCTGCCAGGGCGATGATCTCCGGCGGGCAGCCGGCGGGTGACCCCCACCCACCGGCTACCCGCTGGTCCGTACCCACCCCGGGTCTTTGGCTTCCCCATTTGATGTTTCCCATTCCCCGTGGTGTCCCAACGGACCCCGTTTGTCGTGCTTGAGTCTAGTTTGATGTTTTGGGTACCGTTCGTAGGATAAAAGAGTCTTAGGGATTGCATGCTAGTTGAATCGGTAACCCGTTGACCTAGGTGGAAATCGTATGAACCCCTTAGGACTATTCTTAGTATGTGAATGATCACACGTAAGCTTATTCATGTGTCTTCCCCTTCCCAATGTGCTATTATGTGCTATTGTGTGTTATGTGATGCATGATTCCCCAATTTGGTTGCGATCAAATTGGCTATACGGGCAGTTGGATGGGTTGAGAACCATCCCAACTGTTAACCAGACCGGTTGCGATCGGTCAGGTATATAAATATTATATAGGGCTGCGGTTCACTGTTGGTTACTTATGAGCTGCGGTTCATCCTCCTGGCTGCGGTCAGTGATTAACTTCTTGGGCTGTGGTCCACATGGGCCTCGGGTACGATGACCCACCGAACTGGACGCACCAGGCGGTGTGTAGGGCCAATAAACCCGAGGAAGGCTGTAGTCCATCGACCTGAGTAATCAGGCGGTGTGTAGGGCTACGGCTGGCTGCGATCCACCTAGTGATGGGCCAGCGGTGTGTAGGGTCGTAGTCTCCGAGGATCTTCGCCCACCGACTGAGTCTCTCAGCGGTGTGTAGGGCTTGATCCGCTACGGTCCACCGACTGTGCCCGTCAACGGTGTGTAGGGCTTGATCCGCTACGGTCCACCGACTGTGCCCGTCAACGGTGTGTAGGGTCGTATGTCCCCCCTTGTAAAGGGGATCACAGTCCACCGACTGGGCGTGTCAGCGGTGTGTAGGATTGTGGTCCGACGTTGAGTTCGTCAGCGGTCTTTAAAGGGTTGGTTGCGATCAACTCCCTTCATGCTGCGGTATGAGGTAGGGTGCCGTGTTAGTGCTATATGCGTTAACCCTCATGTTCGGGGCATGCGATTGGTCCCGTGGCGCCAGCTCAGTGTGATTGAGTGTCACAAATGATGATTGAATGATGATGTGAATGATTTGAAAGTGAGCTGTGACCCTAGGATATATGCTAGTATCTTTATGTGCTTGATTATAACTGTTGAATGTGCTTATCCCTATTTGTCGAGTCTAATTCCGGTTTTAAAGCTAGAGTTTCTTAAGAATATATCTTTCTGCTTCAAAATGGTTTTCCTATATATATATATATATATATATATATATATATATATATATATATATATATATATATATATATATATATATATATATATTGTATTTCAACGCGTTAGAGTGGGTTACCAGCATCATTCGCTGAACAGATATATTTGGCTTTCAGGCACAGATGAATAGACACCGGAGCGCGCTAGAGATCCGGAGCGTAGACTAGTTAGTTTCCCTTTCGGCCTGCGTGCCGTGATTATGTATTGACATTGCTTTGAGGATATTTAGTTAGTTAGCCTGTGCATCTGAGTTCTCCAGCTCAGATGTGACATAACACCCCGTACTCTTATGTTTGATTTTGGGATTTAATGAGAATTCACCTTTTTATATAAATTTTAAAAATTTCAAAATCTCGGGGTGTTACACTATGCCTCAGAACCAGCACCTCCATCCACATTAGAATCCAAACCCTGAGAAAGCATACTCAATGGATTGTCACCCAACAGATTAGAACAGTGATGTGAAAACACTTCTTCATCAGTAGAAACACTAAGTACTGTGAAGGGAGACTGCATACTTTGGAGTTGCTCTTTCCTAACAGTTGCTCTGAACAACTTAACCTTTCTAGTTAAGCGCTGAAGCTCAACTGGAACAGAATCAACCACCCAAAAAAAATAGTACACCATTTTAAACATAACAATAAAATCAGTAGTACAACAAAAAACAAAGTAATTACCTCTGAATATTTAAACCTCAATTCCACAGTTGAAACAGATGTAATTAATGAGCTTAGCACTTTGTCCTTCAAAATCTGTAATATGAAGCATGTTCATTTGGTTTGTGGACTACCATGTGATTTTTTCTGTATCTATCTTATTCCCAATGATGTAGTATTAACATTGAAGAGTTTCCTGCTGCAATACTGCACATGCATCATTGTTATTAATTTTTTACACCAAAAATACAAAGCCCTCATATTTTTTTTTTTGTTTACAAAATTTAGTTTTGTTGTACATCCACTCCATTCAGATGTATGAATCTAGACCAACATTACTAATTTTTATCACTTTTACAGGAATCTGGCCAAGCAGGACGAATGACAATTGAAACCCACTCATACCAAATGGAAAAGCTGTAAGTTAAAGAAGAACACATGTATTAGGAAGCAAATGTCAGGTAAAAATTTATCCAGATCTCTATTGATAACAGAAACATGAACATAGTCTGATAGTTGATAAATCATAAAACATTAGGGAAATTAGAGAAATATTAGAAATAGGAAAGTCATTGTCCAAATACATCTAAAGCCACACACAGATTCACTTCAGTTTTCCTTATCAACACAAACAATCTTAGATTTTTTGCAACTGAAACCAGTTGGAAAATCATCAGAAAACAACCTCTTCACATGTTGTGCTGTTTCAAAAGATGCATCGCGATGCTGAACATCCGCTTTAACAATCCCATCCAGCCCAATACAACCACCATCATTACACCCAAACAAATCCTATAAGAATCAAAGAAAAAAAAGTAGCAGTTAAAGACCCAAAAAGAGAACAGTAAGTGAGTAGTAGATATAAATACCTCTGTAGGTGGGTTGTCTTCTACCTGGGAATCAAAACCTGGTGAAAGCATAGTCAAAGGACTGATTAACTAAAGCATCACAATATTGTGTAAGCACTTCCTCCACCTTACATATCCTCAACACATCACTAAGTTGTCTAGGTACAAAACAACCTACACTATGTCTTAAAGCAAGATCTATAGACCTTTTAGGTGTATGCTTAGTAACAACACTGGAAAAGAAGAATATCAGTAAAAATAACAAACAACAATAGGAAACACAACAAATATAAAGAGAGATATACCGTCTCCTAAATGAAACAAACTTCTTTGAAAAATGATGTGAAAGACATGTCTTACACCAGAGAAATTGAATACTGAAACTTTCATAAGATTCATGGCTTGTAACAATCTCATTATGTTTTCCTTGATTCACCAGGTAACTACGAACCAGCTTTACACACATAGCCTTCTTTGTTTGCCCTTGACGGATTTCAGAACCAAGCATGAACTGCTCAACCATGGTGAAAAAGAAGAGAACAATGTAGATGAAGAGATGCAAGATAATGCGAATACGGAAGGAGAACTACATCCACTGCCTATTTATATAGGGATTAGATGTAAATAAAAAAAACTCATGATTTCATTTTCACACATGGGCCGAGAAACATCTGGAAAACACAACTATACACAATAACCTAAGTGTTTTTACTCACTATTAATTGCAATATTTAAAACCAAGAGAAGAAACATTGGAAATTGATTCAAAACTTGGAAACCAAGTTTAAACTTACATGTTTCTTTTAATCTTTTGATCACAAATTTGGAAACCCAAAAAAAAGGAAAGTCTAAAATACCCCCTTCAGCTGAGCGGGAAAAAGAGAGCCAAATCTCCTGGCTATATTGGTATAAGGATTGTAGCAATTGTCATTGACAAACTCTCAAAACAATTTGTCTCAACAACGAATGTAAATTAAAAAAAAATATTGATTTAATTATTGTTGATGAAAAGTATGTATGCCACTTTATTACTCTTATTAAGTTATTAAATAAAGTAGTAGCTACAACAAAAATTAATAATATGCATTTAATTAATTTAAAATTAGATGTCTATAATTCCTTTATTTAAAAAAAATATTCATTATAAAAATTTTAAAAAGTGATATAATTTTATTAGTTATATTATCTTTATTTTCTACAATTCAAAGATTCATTACCTTCAAATTTATTAATTTATTATATTCACTACATTGTCCATTGTCTTCTTTTTTACATTATCTTGTAATTAAATATCAAAGTTATAATACAAAATATGTTATATATATATATATATATATATATATATATATATATATATATATATATATATATATATATATATATATATATATATATATATATATATATATATATATATATATATATATATATATATATATATATATATAGGGATGGCTTCAAGTAAGAACCCATATTTAGATAGGAACGTAAGAACTAATCTAAGCCTTTGAGCCCCATCCGATCGATGGTTTATATTAATTAATAGAAATAAGGACACGATTAATATAATTAATTACATGGGACACTAGGGTAATTTCCAACACCCAAGAATTAATAATTAATATTATATTTGAAATTATTCCAAGAATATAGGAGAAGAAGATGATTCGGGACTCTGTAATCTATCTCCAATTTGGCGAATGACAACACTGCTACTGAAATCTCTCCGACTAACGCCTGCGAAGTTCTGCCGGAGCCGTGCACCCCAAAGTAGTCGAAGCCGTGGACCAAGAGTTCTTCGCCGTTCTGGATGATGGCAACACAATACCAAGACAGTAAGTTCTATATACGAATACGTTATTATGGTTGTGCTTATAATTGAAATTGATAGGGACCAGTAATGAAGTGTGTAAGCATGCACTCAGAGATTGCATTAAATCACACAGCACTGCGAGGAATCGCAAGCGGACACAGTAATGTCCATGGCCTCCCAATCTGGGTTCACCCTCCCAAACGGCATACCCTAATATGTTGAAGTGCACATACAGACCTGGGCATAGGTGGCTGTGTGCCCCCACATTTATGGCGCAGTGCACATACTAAGCACGTGTACCCTTATGTACAAAGTCCACCGACCATAAGTGAACATACCTACTCACAAGGACAGAGCATTGTTGGGACCTTTAGAATGCCGTATTAACCGTAGTTGTGAAGGGTGCATGTGCACCTGTGGTGCGATTAATGTGCCAAACAAGATGATGAAACACACTGAGTGTGCCCGTTGGTTATAAACTTTGTGCCACACAAGTTTACTGCATAATTTACTAATAATTATGCAATCCCTGACAGGTGAAGCCGACTTAATAATGGAGTCAACTGGGTGTTTGATGAATATCTCACCCGGAGCAACGAAGTACTGGACTCCAGAGTGTGAAGAAGCCAAAAAGCCTTTCGCAGGACAAGTGTTCACTACATTGTAAGGAGGAATTGAGTTCTACAAAACTTACACCACAGCTTTATGCAAACCCTGAAATGGGCAGTCCTACCGGAGCAGTTGATGGGAGTAACGAATGGGTATCGTATTTGATGAGTTCTTCAAGTGTGTTAGGTTCGCGTATGGAAACAGCGACAGAATAACAGAGCTTGCAAAACTACTGATGTAACACCCCAGATTTTCAAGACATTTAAACTTATATAAAAAGGGTAATATCTCATTACATCCAAAAGTATATCATAAGTGTACGGGGTGCTATGCCACACCGGGGCTGGAGAACCCAGGTGCACAAGCTGTCTAACTAATATCCATCGAAATACAACGCATAATATGGCACGCAGGCCGAAAGGGAAGCTAATCTACTTCTACGCTCCAGTTATAACGCGCTCCGGTGCTCTAGTCCTCTGTGCCTGAAAGCCAAATATATCTGTTCAGCGAGAGATGCTGGTAACCCACTTCAACGCGTTGAAATACAATACATATAGCAATATATATAGATATGATAGGAATATTTTTGTAAGTTTTGATGAGCCAAATGTACTTTAGATCCCCTTAGTTTCTAAGTCTTTAGTACAAGCATCATAAATCAGAATAATGAAATCAGAAGGAATCTACCATAGGAAGAACAAAATTAATTTGGGAAATTAATTTTGGTCCTACAAGTATTCATCCGTGAAAGAGGACAAAACAATAGTGTTGCAAGAAATGATTGGATGAGCCTAACGGCGAAATGGTAGAGGTCCTTACTCTAAATGGTCACACCCGAGATCGATTCCCCCCAAGGACCTATATTTTTATAAGGCAGATTTTCGAAGGAGCACAATGTGTGCTAAGGAGCATGATGTGCTGAAAGAGCACAATGTGTCCGAAGGAGCACGATGTGTTGAAAATAGCACAATGTGTGCTAAGGAGCACAATGCGTCCAAAGGAGCACGATGTCTACCAAAGAAGCACAATGTGAACAAATCTGAAAGGAGCACAATGCCACCTAAGGAGCACAATGCCACCTAAGGAGCACAATGTCATCAAAGAAGCACAATGTATCTAAAGAAGCACAATGCTCAAAGTCAAGGAGCACGATGTTCAAGTCAAAGGAGCACAATGTGGCAAAAAGAGCAAGATGATCAGAAATTTGATAAATTCGAAGGAATTTATTCTAAGTCTACCCACATGCCACAAGACTCCAAAATTGCCTGAAAGACTTTTTGATCAGAACGGAAAAATATTTATGAAGGCATGAATATAAAAACTTATCCTAGAAATAAATTCTATCAGATGAATTTATTTCAAAGATTCGTTGGATATTCAAATTGACAATTAAAGTAATATTTTTAGAAACAACTAGAAAATCAAAGTTGTGCTAAAAATTTACTTTGTCAGGCAAGTTGACAAATCAAATCAAAATTGAAGATCTACTACTGTCAACATCATCAGGCTATGAAGATTCAAATTTCAAATATCAAATGATCCCACTCCAACAGATATATTTGATTATCTATAAAAAGCCATGAAGACTTGAAGACAAGCACGGAGAACAGAGATAGAAGTGAACAAAATACAAAATTCAAAAGTGCTAGTGCTCAAAATATTCTAAGAGACTTAGTCTGAATAGTCTCAAATCTAGTTGGAGAGAGAAATACAAATCCTTGTATTTGTAAATTGTAGAAAAGAGTATAGCTGTGTGCAAAATACTCTAGTGAGTGTAGCTGTGTGCAAAACACTCGTGGTGCTAAGTGTAGCTGTGTGCAAGACACTTTGTTGGCGTTGAGTATAGCTGTGTGCGAAATACTCGAAGTTGAGTGTAGCTGTGTGCGAGACACTCGGAGTTGGGTGTAGCTGTGTGCAAGACATCCGGAAGAAGTGCCTGTGTAGCACTTATTCACTATTGTAACTGTGTGTGGAAAATAGTGAATTTCTCCTAGACGTGAAAGGAGAAAAGTGGACTAGGAAGATTACGCCACTTCCGAACCACTATAAATTGCCTCTCTCATTTACATACCGCACTTACATTATTTGCTATATCTATCTATCTCATCCGACTAACCCGTTTACTATTCACAGTTTATCTTAATCATCCGGGTTTAGTATGTTCTCGCGTATGCATGTGACTCAAACTTCTCAAGCTCAAATATTGAGTTATTCTAAGCAAGTTTGACGTGTTGCATGTAACATTCGTCACACGGACGACGAGATACGATATTTATTTACAATCTTGAATATTGTTATTATATATTGAGTGCACCATCTCTTTTATATATTCAAGATATCTCTGTCACCTTACATATCACTTGTACCTAGCTTATACATGCACATTTAATTTATTGATTGGGCATAACTCTTTATTTACTATTATTCCGCTGTGCAGTACAAACTTGCTCTATTTACTTGTTACTTAGAGTTAAAGTTACCAAAGAGTTATTTAATTTGAAAAAGCTTGAAAGTCTATTCACCCCCCCCCCCCTCTAGACTTTCACCACCCTATCGGGACCAACAATTGGTATCAGAGCAGGTGCCTATTCGAGTCAAAATTTGTCTCTAACTGATACTCACAATCGGTATCAAGACAGTTGTCTACTTGAGTCAAATTTGACTGCTAGACAGATCTCGAAAAATCAAGATGATGAAAAGAGATAATGCTCTTGCCCAAAATTTATTATTTTCCTTAGAAAAATTTGACGATTGGAAAATTCGCATGCAGGTACATTTATCCGCATTACACGATGAAATGTGGGAAGTAGTTACAAGTGGTCCTATTGAGATTTTACAAGTCAACACTTCATCCGTACAAACAAGTGACACTCCACAGTACATTCCAAAACCAAAAGTGGAATGGTCTCGTGAAGATAGAACAAGAAATAACTTGGACAATATTGCCAAGGATATTTTGTTTAAATCTATCGATGACACGATATTTCCAAAGGTTCGAAAGTGTCAATCCGCGAAGGAAGTTTGGGAAACGCTCATTCAAATTGGTGAAGGAGATGAACAAGAAAAGGATAATAAACTCACTATAGCATTAAAGAAATTCGAGGATTTCAAAATGCTAAACGACGAGAATATTACCGACATGGAAACAAGATTTGCCAAAATTCTAGGAGAGATTAATGATCTTGGAAAGGATATTAATCAAAAAGAAATCTCACTCAAAATTCTACGTGGTCTACCATCTACATGGGACATGAAGGTCACGGCCATGAGAGATCATAGGGATCTAAAAACCCTATCGACCGATAAGCTTTTTAGTGATCTAAAAGCTTATGAATTTG